TTTCTTTCTTTCTTTCTTTTTTTAAAGATGACCAGTAAGGGGATCTTAACCCTTGACTTGGTGTTGTCAGCACCACGATCTCCCAAGTAAGCTAATTAGCCATTCCTATATAGGGATCCGAACCAACAGCCTTGGTGTTATCAGCACCACACTCTCCCAAGTGAGCCATGGGCCGGCCCACTCTGTGATTTCTTACACATAGGAACATCCTCTAGGTTTGTTAAAATAAGATGTTCAACAAACAATGCAACAAAGAACTAAAAACCCCAGATAAGTTTGGAGAGTATGATCCCTTACACTGCTCATGTTACTTATTTTTATAAAGTTATCTTAAAATTTACCAGAAGAGACTAAATAAAACTACCATTTTTTTGAGCAACTTATATGCATTACCTCAAATTAAATACAAAAACCAATAAAGTTCAAATAAAACTTTAGGCCCCAGAATCAGATAACAAAGTTTTATTATAACTTGACCAATTTTTAATTTAATTTGAGGTAATGCATACATAGTATGTAATGCTTGGTCAAACCTGGATCCAACACTTACAAGCTCTGTGACCTAGGGCAGGTAATCCCATATCTAAGAGATTTAGTTTCTTGCCATAAAAGAATGGAAAACAATAGTACCTATATCTAGTAGGGTCATTGTAAGGATTTAAATCAGATAGCATACTAAAGTCCACAGTGACTGACACATAATAAAATCTTCATGCCAGCCATCAAGATTTAGCCATAAGACTGAGGCCCAGACCAGAGTTTCTACACAACCCAGGTGCACTGGATCTCTCAAGAACCAGAAGTACCTATAAAGTCAACCATTAACACCTGAACTGCACAAAAAGCCTTCCCTAGGGAATCAGCAGCAAAGCAGCAATTTAACTCAACCACAGAGCTCAAGTACTGATCCCCACAGGAAGTTCACCCATTTCGGAAGTAAGCAAAGGACAACAAGTTAGTTCCAGCTAGGAGTTTAAATGGTGGGAACAGCAAATAATCCAACAGAGAACTGAAAGAAAAAACAAAGTACCCACAACCAGAGACAGAGTTTCATACTAACTAGTAAAGGTCTCATTTCACAAAAGAACACCTATAACACCTAGAAGGACCAGAAGTCCCCTAGGCTACCAAGCCAGAAAGGGGAGAGGGCTGGGAACCTCAGCAATGTCCCCTGACACCCACAACCAATCCCGAGGGTGGGGGGCCTCGGGCATTGGCCACACCCCCTGACACATGCAACCAGCCCAGCGACAACCACCAAGCCACAGTAAGAAGGGCCCTGGGTTCCCAAGCTGGGACAGTAGGGGGTGAAGGCTTTTGCCACACCCCCCTGGCATCTGCACCCAGCCTAGCAATGACCAAGCCACTGCTGGAAGCCCCACGGTCTCCCCTGTGGGAATGAGGGGGGTGCCAAAGGCCTCAATTCTGCTCCTCCTTCCTCCTTCTTCCATACCATTTCCTTCTCCTCTCCCCCTCCCTCCCAACTGCTCCACAACAACATCCTAGAATGTAAAAAATAATTTTAGTAAAATTACATTTTCTTAAAATAAATAAAAGTATATATGTGTGTGTGGGGGTGTGTGTGTGTGTGTGTGTATGAAAAAGATTTAGCCATAAATATAATGGCTACAAAGTATAAATAAAATATTGTATTTAAACAATCATCTTTAAAATTCTAGGGAAAAATCAGCTAAACGATGGGACTGATCCTGATAGCTTACAGTACGAAGGAAGCAAATACAACTTGCACTTATATACAAGATTTTAAAAGTTGCTGAAATCAATTATATATAGATGATAAAAAATTTGTTACAGTCTGGTACTCAGAACAATTGCTTAATTAACTTTGTGGTAATATTCTAATCTTTGGCATTTAAATGCCAAATAATTACTTCCTAATATGCCAAGCACATTGCTAGGCACATGTTCTAAGTCCTAAAATAGCACTATCATTTGATTAACACTGCACAATTTATAGATTTCCGTATACAAGTCAACTAACAATCTGACAAATTTTAACAATTATCAAATTTTGTTTTGTTAAAAACCATGTGCCTAACCCTATAGTAGGAGCTAAGAAAAATACAAACATGTGCCTTGCCCTTAAAGAATGCACAATCTAATGAATGAGACAGACAAACACACAACTATAATACATAGTGAGTGCTGTAATCAACTACTATGGGAACTCAGATGAGAAAGTGAGAGAGGTAAAAAAATATAGTTAAGAGTCATCTTAAACTAAGTCTGAATATTTCTATATGCCTAAGCACTTTATAGACACTGATTCACTTTAACATCACAAGAATCCTTTATCATCGCCATTTTACAGTAAAAAAGCCCCAAGAGATTACTTAGAGTTTAAGTAGCTAGATGCAGATCACACAGAAATAAGTGGCACGGTGCAGCTTGAATTCAGGTCTGCCTGAGTTCCCAAGCCCATGCTCCTAAGTATTATGCTATACTTACTCTTACTATGGCTCACATAAAAGATAAGATTAGGGAACAGTGAGGTTTACATTGAAAGCTAAAAGTAAGAGGTTCTTATTATTTTAAAATAGAAACATTTTCTTGTTATAGAGATTTAGAATTTTTTTTTTTAACTTAGAAAATTACAATTTGTTCTTTGGCAATTTAATTCAGTTAGGCAATCTCTTTATTCTGCTATTTTCTTCACCACACCATAAACAACTGTCTTACTGTGGGTTGATAGCAGGCAACTAAGCCAATCCATTTACAGTTTCAGAATATGCACTGTCTCTTGTATGAGACAGCAAAGTGCCTAGAAAAAGCTTATCACTTGATAGTCCATGACTGAATTTTAAAATTGCTATAAAAATCACGTATATGTCAAATTACAACAATCTCAAAAAGACCATGAAGAATTAAAGCATTTCAAGAAGGTCAGCTATCATTCATTCATTCAGCAAACATCTGTTATGTCTTGGTCACTGTGCTAAGTCCTTGACACAAAAGCAAATAGTTTGTATATATAATCTCTGTTGAATGCTGTACAAAACTATAAAAAATGTGTTATTTCTCCTCCATGTTGGCATAAAGAGTACCTGACTCAATTCATAAATGACTCATAGAATCAAACAGATGACAGCAGTAATTTGGATTTCCTACCCCGGCAGAGAGCTAGTATCTCTTTATACTACAATTCAAAACATCCAAGAAGAATAAGAGCTTGAAAAATTATTTATACAAGATATTTGTGTTCGTGAGGGTTAACCCATTTCATTTCTCAATGCCCCTGACCACAGAGATTCCCTCAACAAGAGGGAAAGAGAATTTAATTGGTTATCTTCCACTATAATAGGAATACATTTTCCCAAGGAAGTCAGCATACAAACAGAAGTTAAAGGAAGTTGAAACAGCACGATTATTCAGATAGGTTAAAGAGGTTTTTGTAGGTTGCTCTAGAAACCCAAATCTATTTATAATACTATGAGAAAATGCATTCAAAATTCTCTTAAAAAACGGGAAATATTTTGCAAACAGTGCAATACCCTTGTGGCTATTTCTACTCAGCACCAGTGATATAATTTTTGTGGCCTCCTAACTTGTTGAAAATCATTTCATACTGTTTTGCAAGCTGCCATTTGATAGCTCTTGTCAGTTGTTAAAAACTATTAGACACTACCAGGTTTTGCAAACAGTGCAATACCCTTGTGGCTATTTCTACTCAGCACCAGTGATATAATTTTTGTGGCCTCCTAACTTGTTGAAAATCATTTCATACCGTTTTGCAAGCTGCCATTTGATAG